CAACAAGTTGATAAACATGTCAACAAAATAGATCGCTTTATGTTGTGTTTCATACCAAAGAGCAAGCATAAACTAAACTAAACATTTACCTTATGTTTATCTCGAGAATTTTTGTGTTTTGAGACGTTCTAACCACTTTTAATCAGGCCATACTTGATCTTCTATTGGGCTTCCTGTGGTTAATTAGGCGCCCTAAGTGATGCTATTTTTAACTCTTATCGTAAAACTTTATTTGTTGTTTATCTGTTTTATTAAGAGATTTTCATAGAACTTTGCCTTCGCTAAAATTTGTTTTTGTACATACTTAAAAGGAATAATTTCAGCAAAACAAAAAGAATTGTAGCAATTCAAAATTTCATTGGCACTTATGAGTAATTGATTTCCTTTATGCCCGCGCGCACGGCCGCCGAACTGCGTTTTAGAAAATTTGTTTAGAACACTGGGTTTACAACTGGGCTTACAACAAGGTTATTTCATACTTGATTCAGTTTTCTTTGTTATTCATAGTGTTGTATCTAGCTTATTCCACAGCTCATTGTGTATTCAAGTGCTTTATATCGAAGTTTAAAGTGCCTATAATGCTTAAAAAATGGTATTTTTAACAAATTATATAACAACTCTAAATCACATTTTTGAAAGAATTTTCATGATACAGATTTTCAGTAATAATTTATAAGCGATTGAATRTCTGCATATAATATAAAATTCCGCGGTCTGTGGGAGACTGGGACGAGTGAGACCTGTGACGTAGCTTAAGGGACACTGTTGAAGTAAACCGATTGCGTCTAGGTAGCTTTCAAGGTCAAAAAAGCGTTTCCAACAGAGAATACGAAGCATAAAAATGTCTGATTTTAGTTCTGATTCGGATGATAGTCAAAATGACTCGGAATGGAACTTTATCCCGGTGTATACGAGTTTCCAATCGCATCGAGGATGAAAACGAACGGGCTACATCGGCCTAATGTCGACAGGAAGACTGATGTGGACCTCTACTCTTATATTGACGAGCCACTGGAAGACGCATAATGGCTGAAACTGTTCGAAAAGGAGGATAAGAAACGAAAAGAAAAGCAAGAAGATCTTCGTAAAAGACTGAAAGGAATCAGGATAGTCGAGTCTTGGTAAGTAACGTCGCAAATCCACGTTACCAATCACTGTTGACATTTGTCAGCCTACGACTTCTAAGACTTATTAACTATAAAAAGAGCATGCAATAAGATTTTTTTGGGCCTTTTTTGTACGTTTTATCTCTTCTTTATGTGTAAATGCGGCAACAGAACGTGTTTAGAGAATATAAATGAATGCGTTTGCTGACATGAAATTTACAAATGTAGTTCAGTCTTCGCGACAAGATGGTTTTAGAAGATGTCAATGACCCTCCATCGTGTGATATCTATCTTTACTAGCAGCATTAATGTCTTTTCTTTCTTTCTTAGATTCCTTCGAAGCGTTGCCTACAGGGAATTTACCTTTCTGATCCATGGTTATCTAGGTAACAAAAGAGTACCAATGCCATCATTTGTTTACCATAAATTCGAGAAACATTTGTTGTGACAAAGATGAACAGTTCACAGGATATGAGAATAACATTTAAAACAAATGTACATGTGAAATTATTTTTACTTGCTCCAAATAATATTATTTTTTGTAACGAATGTTAAAATATATTTGTCCTTTTTATTACCACACTGTAATTTGTGAGGGCTGATATTATTCTGCCAGTCAAACCCTTGTTTACTACACAGGTTGCAATACAGCAGTAGAATGCATTCATTACATTCAAACATTTTGTAAGAAATTGCATCAATATTAATCAATAGAAAACAAAATGAATGCAATCCATCTTCGCTTAAACTACAAGCATTACTTTTTGCCTATGTGGTAGTGTTTATGTACTTCATCACCATCTACTTTTTACATATTTTCTATAAGTCTAATTAGTTGATGATTAATATGTGTAAATACAATATATATATTTTATTCACTGTTTGCGGCTCTGATTCTTTCAGCTCTGATGCGTTCACACTCAGCTTTATTGTGGCCTTTCATACGCTTATCACAGTGTGAACACACAGGCTTTGCTCTTGGCTGTTTGTTAGCTCTTTGTGTATTCACAAGTTGTGCTTGTATTTCTTCAGCTGAAAAAAATGATCAACATAAAATATTTATGACAATAAAAGTACATAATTACAAAATGCAAAGTGAATGAATATGAAAAAGGTTATTACGTTGTGTAGTTGGTGGAACATCTTGGACAGTCATTGATTTTCGCTGATCACGCTTCATTATGGCTTCCTCTCTTGGCTGTCTTTCTAGCATTCTGTTCATGAAATCTGGCGTCATGTCTGTAAGCTCCCTTCGGAAATCATCCAGTGTTCCCTCTTCTATGCCTCTTCGTGTGGTTTGGAACACCTCTTCAACATAATCTGAAAAAAAGGAATTGGGCAGTGATACCTGGACAATTATAATAGTATAATTGTATCAAGATGTATTGGTTTTTTTGACATTATTTTTAACTAATTTTGTACACTGGCTCTACAAAAATAAGGGATTCTCCACTTTTGATGAATAGTATCAACAAACCCATCTCACTTATTATTAGATGAATTATTATGATTTTCAATAACACTCTGAGAGATGACTTCATTAGTTCAACAAAAGCAAATCTTAGTATTTATTGACAATTTAATAGATACAGTACATTGGCATCTAAACCTTACTCACCAAAATTTGGCTCAATTCGTACATCTCGCACTGTGGCTTCCCCGTTCTTAAATTTTGGCCATATGACTTTTACTTGCTTTTGACCACCATCAAGTTGTCTGACCTCCCTCTGAAGGTTGGAATTGAAGTGAAGAACTGCTAATACATGCCTGATAATGAGAAAAACACATGCTAGTATATAAGTTAAACTATTGTCAACAATCATCAATAATTTGCCTATAATTCAAACCTGCAATACATCCCAGCATAGGAGTAAGCAATCATTTTTGGCGCAAACTGGTTGACCACGGAGTGAAACCCCTCTAGGCAGCTAGTTTGAGCAATGGGAGATGCCTTCTTGATTGCCTTCTCTAGATTTGTCTTGGTCAGTTCTTTTACCAGCTTCTCATACACCACTAAATCTACTCAAAATAATAATAATGAACATTTTGTAAGACTAACTAAATAATGAAGATATAGTTTATTTCATTCCCGGCATACCTCTCGTCAACCACTCTCTGTGTGGAATATCCCTTCCATGATGACACCTGTCAAATAATGGGTTATCTAGACCTTCATGTTTGTTAACAATGTGATCAAGATAGCTCTTGAATTTTGCCCACATAACTTCGCCATTGCCATCATGTGTAGAGCAAGCACTCCAGTAAAGGTGGTTACTACAAGGTTTTATCCATGGTGTCAATACCTCACCGCCACTTTCCTTAGATAATTTTGTCAAAACTTTAGTAATCTCTGCAAAAAATGATGTGATGTAATAAATTATTATGTAAATCAGTTCACTCTGCCCCAAACCCAAGATTTGTTTTTATTACGATGTATCGATCTTTATTTTCCCCCCCCCCCCCCCCCCTCGAAAGGGCAAAGTGATACCACTTAACCGTGGCCCTTAAAAACCCCCCCCCCCCCCCCCCCAGTGACCGAGGTACTTACATTACCATTTATTGGGAACCCTGTCCCCCCCCCCCCCCCCCCTGAACTATATTGACAGACTGTCTCGTCCTTGGCAGCTTACAGATGTAAAGCCTTTGTTCTTTTATTTGCCTTCGTGTAATAATAAGTAAGCCATCAGACTACGACCCCCCCCCCCCCCCCCCGTTTGTAATGATTAACTCAACGCTCACCAAACAACAAGGTACTCCCCCCCCCCCCCCCCCCGAGCCTGTCTTTTGATTGAACAAAGTCCCTTGGTAAAGAAACTTTAAGGTAAGAAAGTTCATTCAATAAGGAGTTTTAGTCTTTAGATTTCTCATTATTTTAAGCCCCCCCCCCCCCCCCCCTCGGTTGATAATAAAGTAAACAAAGTGCCAAGATGAATCAGTGCCCCCCCCCCCCCCCCCCATTGAAAATTCGCTGTAAATTAATAATATGACCTTTGTCTGAACCCCCCCCCCCCCCCCCCAATTCTTTATGTAATATTTTGATGCCATTTTTGAGTCATATATCCCCCCCCCCCCCCCCCCATGTAATCAGTTCCGTAGCTATGTACACTATTAAACTGCGATTACAGAATTCCACCGTGACTACGGAAAACTATGGCTTGCATTTGAGTGCTTTCGTTATTCAAAATTCTTTGAAACAGTAGTTACTTGCTAGTCTGTGAAACAGTTAGACTGCTAGTTACTACACCCCCCCCCCCCCCCCCCACTWTATTTTTTTAYTTTTTTATTTAATTATAATTAAATTAACCCCCCCCCCCCCCCCCCCAATATTGTACTTTAATTGCACAATAACATTTTATGATAGCTAGCCCCCCCCCCCCCCCCCCTTAAATGGTTGAAAATAGCTGTTTCAACTAGAATCAGGCTTAAATAGTTTTAATTTGACCACAGTATTTCCATATGGCGGAGTTACCCTAGCATCATCAATTAGCCCCCCCCCCCCCCCCCCATATTAGTTTTTTCTCATGCGCTTAGGCCTATCGTTAACTAAGCGAAATCACCAAAAACGATGACTGTATCCCGATATGTTTGAAAAGAAAACGATGATCTTCACCCCCCCCCCCCCCCCCCTTTCATTCACAATRATCATGCATTTCTGAATAAACGTACATGGCCCCCCCCCCCCCCCCCCTCATCTGTATTCATGTTAACGCAGTCTTATAGTCTTATAGACTCCCCCCCCCCCCCCCCCCGTTCTACGTAATTGCTTGCAACTCTTGTGTTCCTACTGTCCA